ATCTCCAACTATTTCAGAAATTATCCATGATGAGAGGCTAGTGTCAAAAAAAAGGGGCTCCTGCAGGAGTCTAACGTAGCCCCTTTCTTGACTCGTTAGTTGAATTTTGTTGTGACGATGTTACCTCGCTCTGATGATGTCCGTCATATGACGAACGAAGGCTTACCACCTTTTCACCGGAATCGAAGGAGATTGCCTCGGAAACAGCGTCAGCATGAATATTCCAGTAAAGCTAATCGGCAGCTGGTCAAGAGGAATCCGCCGTCGTCTTCTGGTGGAGCTGACCCTTGAATCTCTTCACCCAACACTTAAACTCGAAATGGAAGTAAGCTCATCAATTATGAAACAAGAGATTCCCTGAAACCCAACTTTTCTTCGTATATATTTGTTGTTACAATCGACTACATCACCTAATTTTGGTCTAAAAATAGGGTTTAGAGACTAATTTAAATATATCAGATGCGTTCGCTGTCTCTGGAAACCTACGGGATTATAACCTCTCATATGCTTGAATACAATCGAAATGATTTCGCCAGAATACTATGAATCACACACTGTTCACTTGAAATGGAAGTAAGTTCAATACTTATGAACTTAGTGATTCCTCGAAATCCAAATTTTCTTGGCATCCACTAGTCGACTTGAATCGTCCCAAAGATACTTCACCTTCTGAAATTTTCACAAGCCAGAAATCCGATTATAAGTCGGCTTTTTCGTGGATACTTAAATGTTATATGAAGCAACTTTTCCAAATCAGATTTGTATCAGGAATCCGGGAGGAAAAAGAGGCCTATACTATTCATCGAAATGATCGTAAAAAGAAAAATGAAAACTTCCACACTCAGAAAAGACGTTCTGACCATCCATGAAATCGGCCCAAAAAGCCAGAGTTTGACCACCACGAAGCGGTAACGGCCGTAAACGCTTTCTGTGAAAGTCAAGTGATGCATAAGAAAAAGCGGTCTAAAACGTGGCTCCGAATTGTCCGGCAATCGTTAGAATCAGAGACTGGACGTGTTGATTCGTAGAAACGAAGAGACTTTGACAAATCTCATTAAATTGATCAGGTTCATTTTTATATCCGTTTCCAGGAGGCCTCGACAAAGGACTAAATTCCAGATTCCTAGGAACTAGTTCCCGACAGAATAGAGTTCTAAACGAGAAGAGGTCTGCTGGCTTGCACTGGCAACATTTTTCTGGGCCTCGACAACATTCACCATGTAGAGCCTGTAGGACAACTTGGATATTACAACAAGCTAACTGCGGCCAACATAGACGAGCTACACCGTAAACCTTTGATTCGTGATTGAATGAAATCTAATTAATGAATACCTCAAGTTGGAGGAAGCCAAGCAAATCGCTGCTTCTAAAGAGTTATCAATAAGACAACAACCGATATCAGCTGGGCTTGGGCCTTAGAACTAGGGTCACTGGATCAAAGCAAAGATGCACAACTTTAATATTATTTATTGCTGGACTTCAAAATTGTCCCCATTTAGGCTCATAAAATTATGATAAATCATGATTTGTATTGCACGGTATCATTATCTCTAGGTTTAAATACGTGAAAAGTAGCATTCGTACTATTTATTTTCATTTTGTCGCTAAGAGGCCTCAATAAAACGTCTTATAAGTCTGCTGAGTACGAGGATTCATAAGAAGCCTTACTCTCAAAATAAGGCGCCAACAATATCAGCTACAAGTTATAGCGCTTTCGTGCGCCTAAGAATAAGTTAACGCAGACAACAGGCCGATATTGAGGCTAGTGTTACATCACAATACAAAGAAGTAAACAAAAGCTCACCCGATGACGACGATGGTAAAGTCAAGTATGTTCCAGAAATTCCGCAAGTAAGCATCCGAATGGAGTACAAAACCGTAGGAGACAATTTTAAGGAAAGATTCGGTGGTGAATATAATCACAAATGCGTATTCAACCTTCTCCTGTGAAGAGCAAAAATGAAAATGAAATGTGAGAAATAAGCATTATAAATCGATTTTATAATTAGGAAAGTTATAAAGTAAAAATTAAGTAACCAATCTATTTGATTTGAAAGTTGTTTTACCTTGTTTCCGCAACTTGGTCATATTGGCAAGAATACCTGGAGGAATGCACCTTGTCCGGAGTCCATTGTATGCATCATCATTTACAGAGTCGGACCGTGGACTTGGTACATTCCCAAACGTTTCACCGTCATCGTCGGTGAGTCTTGCCACACCACACTCCAACTCGTCAAAGAGGCAAGTGAAGCCAATCCTTTGAACAATTGTCTGCTAAACAATTGTGGTCTCTTTGACGAGTTGTATTGTGATGCTAAGAATGACAAGACTCGCTGATGGTGCCGGCGAAACGTCTGGGAATGTACCACTTCCACGGTCCTATTCTGGAAATGATGATGCATACAATGGACTCCGGACTAGGTGCGCTCATCTAACTCTTCCTAACAATGTGACCAAGTCGCGAAAACAAGGTCAAACAATTTCTATGCAACGAAAGTTGACTGCAACCATACATCCCGGTCTTAATATCTATTTGATTTAGACTATGGTCATGGTTGAATGGGCCAATTTTATTTAAAAGGTTGCTGCTAAAGCAGCTTAAACTCAAAAATAAAAGGAATAATTCCCTGCTAACTCATTCAGTAGTTTAAAATGAACATAGTAATAGTATAGCATTATATATATATATATCTTGCAATATAGTTATAATGTAAATTCTAGCTAAAATTATTCGTGAATCTGGATTAAGGCGAAGATGAGTAAAAATTTGAATGGCTTTTCAGGCAATAAGTCGGGTTTTTCGCTATTCGTTGAAGAAAAAAGCTCATTTTCGCCGTTCACCTTCACTTTATCCTCAAAACTGAAAGTGTTTTTCCTTAAAATCTGTGCCAAGATTTCCATCTCGCATATGCATAGCTTAGCCCAAAGCTGCATCTTTGGACGGTCTCCTTTCAGTCAACAGACCAAGTAGCTCTAGTGACAATTCGTTTTAGGTAACATATGCTTCTCGAAAAGAGGCAGGAGCCTGCCAGGACAAACTGTCAATTTACTCGTTCAAAGGTTCGTTTATTCTTTAAAAAATGCCACTCGTTCGTGGTTCTCCATACAATATAGCCACAAGAACATGACAATTTTAGTTGTAAAACTAATTCAAGGGGTCATTTTTGGTAACTATTCGTGCTGATCTCAGAAGTGGAAATCTCCCTAAATGCCACCAATGCTGCGATTGTCCAAATCCTAATTAAATAGAGTAATTATGTTTCGGCGTATTTCGCCATGCCTTCCACTATTGTCTTTCCTGAGTGCCTGTATCATCCCCACCGGACACAAATCTTGTCGAATTCGTAAAGGCAACGACGCTAAGTTAGTCGTTACGCTTAGACTGGCAGTTTAAGAAAACGTTGACTGGGTTCAGTTGTGCTGAAAACAGCTCTTTTCATTAATCCATCTATTTAGATTGTGATTGGCTCAAGGAAGAGCATTTATTGCTATTTGGAATTTGAGAAAAGTCAAGCTCAGTACCCCATAAGGTTGGGACAAACTTACTCAATGGATTCCGCTCGTTTTGTTGCCACCCAATTGGGTACTCTGCTCAATAATAGGCGGTAGTTACGGTCTCCAAGTCATTAAACTACGCGCACTCTACACATGGGCGATTTAGAAGAGGATTTGAGTTGTATGGAAATCCTAACTCTAAGCCGTGCGCCTCTTCATCTACATGCGTCAGTCTCGAATTCCAACCAGGGTTTGGGTATGAATTGAACGGGATTTAAACTGTTGCCAAATGCGCAGCCCACTATTCACCATTCGCCCAGTCTCGATCTGTCTAAACAATTGCTCATACAAATCCGATCGGATACCTGATGAAAAAGTAGGTCTCGAATAATCCCTTTGTGAGTGTGTGTGAGTCGCCTTTTGACTGAAGAGGGACAATTTGGCTGGGAGTAATTCATGAAATGGTCGCACCAGAAACCGAAGCAGGATTGCTGTTGGACTGTACGAACAAGTCCTCGGTTCACTGTCCTGCAGCCCCGATGAAGCCGTGCTAAACTTTCATCCGTCCGGTAGTGACGGACATCGTCAAAGCGATCAAGGCATAATTTACAATAAAAATGCACCGAAATACGATGGCATATTGTATTTTCGAAAATGATGGCTTATCGTCCTGGGGACAATATATGAATTGGGTTCACCCTATTCCGTTTAAGATGATGAAGGAGTTGATTATTCACACAACGATATTAATAGAGCTGATGCTTTCCACTGCATTTCACATAGCCTTGCTTTCCCAAAAGGTGTTCTCCTTAAGGGTGGACTGCAGGTTCGACCTCGCATGGGTCTTATCAACACTCCAAGCGGGAGTGTTGAGAAAGAAAGGCTGTATGAAATTCAATTGAAACGTCGGTTCTACTCAAATTGCAGTGGGAAAAATCAACTACCAATCCTTCATTGCGTTTTTACGAAATAGGGTGAACCAAACTCATATATCGGATTAACTGGTAGTCTCAAAAACCTACTCACTTACGAAAAAAGCAAAAACAATGATCATCACGGCGTGGCAGCATGTTGAGTCGAGGACTTGTGCTTTGCACAATCCGCCAGTCTTCACTCTACGGCGGTCAATCCTCCTTCGGTATCGTCTGGAACCAATTCACAACTGCCCTCCCGTCAACCTGTTCTGCAAGCTGAAAAGTCGACGTAGTTTAAGGAGCATTTGTGGATAGCCTCCAGATCAGTTGATGCATTCCACAAATAAAGACTCTGTTCACACCGAATTGAGGCAAGGCTTAGTTACCGTATTTTCCGGCGTATAAGACGACCCCCTGACTTTTCCTGTTAAAATAGAGATTTTGTAAGGAACTAAGGGGCGCAACAGGAGTTCGGAACCATAGTTTAATTAGCGATCCCTAAAATACACTCGGTGCATAAGATGACCCCCCCCTTAGAAGCAGAAATTTATGGTGTGAAAAGTCGTCTTATACGCTGGAAAATACGTTAGAGGTTACGGTGAACTCCATTTTGGAGGATTTTGCCAAAACACCGTTTCAGGCTGAGAGTTTGGATAAGAATGTCTATGAATCGGGACACTTGGCGAGGTGGACTCAGATGAGCGCTTGTATCCATTGTTAGGGGGACCTTCATTTCGAATGAATGTACATGATGAAGAGATTCGTTTTTCGATCTCACCAGATGAGGACGGATGAAAATCGTTGTACTGCAGCCGTTTAGCTATTATATTATATTCATGTTGACGCAGTCGACGAGTCTTCCTCCCTCGTTTCGGGTGAAAACGTGCTGAGCT